AAGTACATAAGAAAGGACATAAAAAGAGTAAAATATTAGGAATTTGTTTTCAATACTAATTTCAAGACTAATGGTGAGGGGGCTGGGGATTTAGCTCAGCAGCATAAGCGCCTGCCTTGCAAGTAGGCAGCCGTGAGTTTAATCCCTGGTACCGATAAAAAGTAAAAGACAAAAAAAAAAAAAAAAAAAAAAAAAAAAAAAGACTAATTGCAAGGCTGCTATAATTAACACAATGTGGTTTGGTCATTAGAATGGATCTAAAAACCAGTGAACTAAAATAAAATACAGATACATATCCACACATGGTCAATGGTTTTACCATTACACAGATGCAATGGTATCTCAGTAGAGAAAAGGTACCCTTCATAAGCATTGTCAGAACAACTGGATAACCAAATTAAAACTATGAACCCAGCTTCGATGACATACTAATATTAACTTTAAGTGATCCATTTAACAAACGTAACAGCTAAAACCAGAGCTTATAAAATAGAACTTAGGGGAGATATCTTGGTGACTTAAATATACAAATATTTATTAGATGTGACATGCAAAAGATGTAAACCACAAAATGACAAAATTGATAAATTAAACTTTACCAAATTCTAGATATAGTGACACTTAACTCTAATCCAACACAGGAAGCTGAGCTAGGATCACCACGAGTTCAAGGCCACCCTGGGCTATATGGTAAGTTGAAGTTCAGCCTGGATTACATAATGAAAACAACGATGACAACAATAATAAAAAAACAAATTATTGCTGGGTGTGATGTAGTCCCAGCACTCTGGAGGCTGAGGCAGGGGAATTGAAGTGAGTTCAAGGCTGGCCTAAACTACACAGTGAGACTCTGTCTCAAAAATAAATAAATATATAAATAAAACATGGCCTTCAAATGACAATAATAAGAAAATTAAAAAGAAAGCCATACATTGGGAGAATATATTCACAATTCATATTTCTAACTGAGGACTTAAGTGAAAGGCATATAATGCACTCTCACAAGTCAAAATTTAAAAAAGCATTAGCACAGAACAGTTTAAAAACTGGTTTATAATTTGAGCAGATATTCTGCAAAATAAGACATTCAAATTGAGCAACAGAGAGCAATAGAGACATTCAAGCAATATAGAACTGATGCACTGCATCACTAAAATGTAAATTTAAAATGTAACAGATAAATTTTAAAAGATAGAAAATGCTAAGTGTTATGACATAAATGAAACAATTAGAACCCTAGACGTTGTTTCTAGATAGGTAAGAAACTGTGATAGTTCCTTATAAAATTACACACACACACACACACACACACACCTTATGATGAAGAAGCCCACTTCTAAATATATACTCAGGAGAAATAAAGGTATGTGTGTCCACACAGACCTGCATGCAATGTTTGCAACAGCTTTATTCATTATTGCCAAAAATTCAAAATGGTCCAGCTGTCCATCAACAGAGTTGAGGGTAAAAATTGTGATGTGTTTATAGGATGAGCTATGGCTCAGCCATAAAAGAAACAAGCCATGCATGAAGCCAATGTCATTCATTAGTCTCATGGACATCACACTGAATGAGCAAAGCCAAACTGCACCAAATGCATAATGGTGGGTCCCATTTTCTTTCTGAAATTAGAGAAAAATTAAAAGCATTCTGCAGTAGCAATCAGAGGTTGCTTTGGCTAGGCATGAGTGACCAGCAAGAGATGGGCATCAGGGAACTTTCTGGCAAAATGTAAATGAGAGAGGAACATTCAATATCTTGATGAAATGTGCATATGCTTACATGTTTCAAAAATAAAAGACCTGAACGTCTAAACTATATAAACTTCATAATTCCCTATATGGAGGAATTGGACTGAATTGTATTTCCTCAAAATTCACTTAACCACCAGTACCTCAGAATGTGACTTTATTTGGAATCAGGGACAACAAAGATGTAGTTACTTAACAGGAAACCATACCAGAGCAAAGTAGACTCCAAATGTAATGTGACTGATGGTCTTATGCAAACAAAATCATATCATGAGGGAGAGACAGGTCCACAGGGGAGACAATGGGAGGGCATGGGAGGAGGTAGCTATCCACAAGCCAAGGACAGAAACTTGCACAGTCTTCTCTCACAGCCGTTGTGGAGAGCCAGCCCTGCTACGAGGAGCAGAATAGAGAGTGCACGGTTAGCAGGTGCAAGGGATCAGATGGATGCAAACAATGGCCCCTAACTATAGCTCAGAAGCATAACCACGGTTAACAACTAATTCAATGTTTTTCAAATAGTAGAGAGAATTTCAAATATTCCCAACAAAAAGAAATGAGATGTGTCAGAGGTGATAGATATCCCAAGTACTTTACATATATGTATTGACATGTCACCCTGTACCCCATGAATATGTACAGTGACTACATATCAGTTAAAAATAAAAAAGAGATACTAAAAAGAGATGAAGAAATATAGAAATATTTGTTTGGGGAGGAAACATGAAAACAGGAAGAAGTTAAAAAAGCTTGGCAGGAGGGTGAAGAGGGACAAGAAAAAAGCCAGAATGGAGCCAGGTGTGGTAGCACAGGCCTGTAGTCCCAGCACTCAGGAGACCGAGGCAGGAGGATCACCATCAGTTTGCAACCAGACTGGCCACACAGTGAGTTCAAGGCTGTCTTGAGCTTCATATTCCAACTGCACCCCCAAAGCCCAGAGTAGGTACAGTTTGGGGCAAGATGATAAAAGATCTGGATAGCTGCTCTGATGGAGACTTTGATAAGAATGGACAGAGAGGAATTTTAGTAAATTTATGACAGCTTTTAACTTAGCATAAAAGATTCATTGATGAGACTCTAAAAGTCAGTTTTCTTTTGTATTACTTTAGAATGACAATTTTATAAACATTCTGAAGGTATACATAGCAATTTCAAAAAGTCACACATCAAATTTGCCCTTTCCTACTTGGAAAAGTTATTTTCTTTAAATGTATATAGTATTTAGCTGTAGAGGCATGTGTAACTCAGAGGCAGAAGGCCACTCCCCAAGTGGATCATTTGGACCAATGCTGGCCATCCGTTGTCTTCTTTCAGTTGTATGATGACACTTTTTGATATCTAAATAAGTAGCTACATCTATATACATCTGTCCTTGTATGGTTAAATCTACAGGGGTGTGTGTGTGTGTGTGTGTGTGTGTGTGTGTTTCCATGTAACACTAGTTAATTACAGAATCAGTGACTTTTTTGTTTGGTACCAGGGATCAAATTCACGGTCTCACACGTGCCAGGCAGGCACTTATGCCGCAGAGCTGAGTCCCCGGTGAGAATTAGTGACTTTTGATGTATAAAATGAGGTGAAGATCCCGGTTGATTATTTTTCTCCAAATTATTCAATTTTCCTGCTATCATCGTTAGAAAATTAACTTTTTTCCTGATAATATGTGATACATAGAACAACATTGAAGTGTTAAACATTTACCTTCAATTTGGTCATCCATGCTAAACTTCTGCAAAATTAATTTCAGTGTTTGCTTATTCATTTATTCTCCTGGATTTTTGAAATAGAGATGTACACTGTAGAAATAAAGTATCAGAAAGAAAATAAAATTAATCCTATTTCTTGTACTTTGACTGGAAGATTTTCAGGGAAAAGTTTTATAATGTTAAAAAAAAAAAAAAAAAGCAATAGTCAGGCTGGGCATTTAAGAGCCTGCTTGGCAAGCACAAGATCACGAGTTTGATCCCTGGTACCACAAAAAAACAAAACAACAACAACAAAAAAATCCACAGTAGTCAGCTCATAGCCAGTGATGGAACCTCACAGACATTCCTATTTAACTCTGAAACTAGAGTGGGACATCCATGCATTAAAATGACTTTTATTATGGACGTTTAAAATGACTTTTAATCCTCTCATTAAATTAGTAAGTCTTCATTAACACAGAACACATTTAACCTTGATAAATACATTATATATTGTCTGAGGAAACCAAAACGTGAATGGTAAGAAACATGCCCAGGGTCAAGAGGATGGTAGGATTCGATCCTCTGTCTATGATCTTCCAGTTCTTCGAATTACTAGACCTTGTTACTTACTTGATCTTTCAGCCAAAGCTAAGCATTCCACATGAAAGAAGCTTTAAGTTTCAGAATGCATTCACATGCTTCATCTTGCATATTTTTTATATTTTTAATTTTTTGGTACAGGAAATCAAACTCACAAACTCGTGTTTGCAGGGCAGGCACTTACACCACTGAGCTAAATCTCCAGCCCTGATCTTGCATTTTTAACACCTGGCTTTTGAGTGAAATAAGTAGGTTCATGGTCATTCCTAAATAATAGCAAATAAACATTGACTTCAGAGGTAGTGTAGTTACATCATGTTTTCCATCCATTCTGAGAAGAAATAAGGCCAAGTGCTCAAAGAAAAATTGTTATATACTCAAAGCTGCCCCATGTTTAATTACGACTCTGGTGGGAGAAGGATCTCGCATATGTGTTGGATAATAATACACTGATACAATGTTGTGGGAGGACTGATACAAGTTTAGGGATTTGGAAGGAAGCCAGACTAGAAAGACTAACTGTTTGTCATGTTGGGAAAGAAAAGCAACAGAAAAATGTTCAAGTTCCTATGTGGATCAAATTGGTGATAGGGAAAGTGGTAGACTTTGTCTCTCAAACAATTTCTCAGAGTCCATGAAGAGCAGCATTTGATACTGTATTTTGAAATGAAGAAGGAAGCCTAAATTTTTCCCGGCTTGATAGAAGTTTCCCAAGTGTTTGTGCCAATCCATGAGCTGATAGTGTTTCTGCTACTATTATCAGAAACAATTATGGGATTTTATCTTTTAATCTTTCTATTATTTTTGCCAATTATTTTAAATATTTTTATTGATATATGTTTGCAGTACATAATGGTTACATTCCTTGTGATGAGTTGGCACACGCACAAAACATGCAATTCTTTTGATCTCCTTCCCTCCTCCTCCCCCTCCCCCCCCCCACATCTCCTGGTCCGCCTCCTTCCATACGGAGTGACAGCATAGGTGCGTATATTGTTCTCATGATCCTAGCCTGCTCACCTGAACTTCATAATGACCTTTATCCCAGATTTTCTTGTTCTATGACTGAAGCCAGGTTAGGGTGGGGCTCTGTCTGCATTATTCTGAATACAGTGGCATGGGGAAGCTGGAAAATACCCACTGTGCTTAATAACTACATTTGTAATAGGTACATTTAGGAAAACAGTACTCAACGGATTTTTTTTTTTTTTAAGGCGAGTTGAATTTCTCCATCTACTGATTAAGCTGGAGTTTGTGTGTGTATCTCTGTTGTTACTTCTGGTAGGTAAAAGGATTCTTAAAAGAATACTGGATCTTTTTCTGAATCATTTGAACAAATGTAGGACTAAGGAGTATGTAGTATCCAAAGAGTAATTATAATTATATCAGTAATTACATATATCTAAAGAGTAAGTATAATTACATTAACAGTAAACAACTTTGTTATAATTTTTGATTCTTATAAAGTATATTATTACTATGAAATATTATTTAGTCATTAATAGCTATGCATTTAAAGCATATATGGTAACATGAGGGAAAATTTTGTAATAGTCAATAAAAAAAGCCAACTCAAATTTAAATTGTTTGAGTCATGTTGTTTTTGGTGGCCAATATTATTGACCCGGTTCAGATAAAAGGGCCTTTACTTTAAGTGTATTTCGGGTGTCTTATGAGAATCAAAGCATATTTGTCAATCACAAGCCAGGCATGCTTAAAGCCCTGAACTCTGGGAGGCTGAGGCAGAAAGATCACAACTTGGAGCCCAGCCCAATCAACCTAGCAGCTTAGCAAGACCCTGTCATAATAAAAAATAAAACGCTGTCTCAGAACAAGACAAAAAAAGTCTGATAAAAGTGAAAAAAAACCAGGTTTCAAATCGCCAGTGTCCAGACCCCCTAAAAGAAGCCAATGGCGCGCCTCTTAGGGATTGAATCAGGAGCATGACTGCACATGAGGCTCCTCGCTCAGCACACTAGGGTTCCTTCTTGAGCCTTTTACCCGCATGCCTGCTTCGTATCTCTGCCTCTCCCACACCAACTTCCTTTCCTTACACATAGCTTTTATTATCTCTTAACTTCACCCTGTACATAGTTCAAAATGTCCCTCTAGCTTCTGTTACAACTTTCATCTTCTCTTCTCAGCCCGATTAATAACTGATTTTATCTTTCAGCCTCCCAGTTCTAGTTCCCTAAACAAATTGGTCCAGTTTATCTTTTTTGCTTTAGTCTAGAACTCCTATCCTATGTTCTTAGTCTAAGAAAAGACTACTCTTGAGTCCACCCTCCAGGAGAGGTGAAGTCAGCCTGGCCCCAGCTATGCACAGGCAGGAGGAACCATAATAGCCTGACGTCACAAGTGTGCCTGTTACTTAAATATTAAGTGTAAATATGTATAGATAAAAACAGGAAAATAAACTGCAATATCAACAGCAGTTGTTCTTGCTAGGGATAGTACAAAGATTTACTTCATTTGGCCTAGTTTTTCTTCAGTGAACACATAGTATTTCATAATCACAAACATAAACTTCAAAATACTCCCTGATTTTTTTTAAATGGCAGGTTTGAAAGAGACCTCAACGTGATGCAATTCTGCACCGCCTTGATTTACAAATGTTGAAACAGGCCCACGTAGATTAAGTGACTTGTCCAAAGTCACAGAGCGGGGGGGAGTGGCCAAACTCTTGAGTTTCCAGCCTCTTAGTCCTGAGTCACACGGAACAGTGCCTTGCTCAACACAGGGAGATCTCGACTCTGCCTGCAAGTCAGAGCCTGCCCGGTGCAGCTCTCTGAGGCCCCAATCTAACTACAAACTGTGTTCTAAATCTTTTGGACTTGGAAGTTTATTCAAATAATACACTGTTGACTTGAAACAGAATTTTAATCCCTGGGCCTCATTAAACCATCATTTCGGTACAAGCTGCGCTTCAGTAAGGGCTCTTCTGTTACGCACACCAAATTGTGAGCTCTGCTTCGTTTTCACTATTGACAGCAGCGAAGCATGGGAGGGAGGGAATTTCCAGATGCAAAGTGTAATTCCACCCTGTACTGTCTGTCTCTTTCCTTGGCTTCTTTCCCTCCGGTGTGTTTCCTCTTGATGGATTACATAGTCTCACAGAAGGGAAAAAGAAAAAAATGCAAGTCCGTTGTACTACTCGTGTCGTTCAGTTCGTTAAAAAGGAAGGTTTGTGCTAATATTGATTGGAGAAAGTTTTATGTCCATATCTTATACCCCGAGCATCTACTTTAAAGATAACAATATGTGATGTATTAACTGTTATTCTCTTATATTTTGTTATGAAGTTTTGTATTACCTTTTTTCCATAAGAAAAAAAAAGAAGAGAGCAGAGTCTTTTGGGGTGAGAGTAAGGTAGGGGGAGTGGGGAGCATAAAATCGGGTTTACACAATGGGAGGGAAGGAAAGAAGTCAGAAGTCTCTTAAGGTTTCATTCTAGGGACTGGGGACTTAGCTCGGTGGTATAAGCGCCTGCCTGGCAAGTGCAAGGTTGTGAGTTGGATCTGTGGCACCAGGGGAAAAAAAAGATTTTATTCTAAAGCAGACTTCAAGCATCCCTGACAGGAAAAGGATCCTGCATAGTTGGACACTGGCTCCTGCTTTACCTGAAGGAAAGAAAATCAAGCAGATTTAGTCAGTTCCAGGTACCAAAATGCAGAGATAACCCTGGCTCTGAGGTACTTACTGTGCAAACTCCCGCTGTGGGGAGAGATAGGAGTCCTTGGGCTTGGTTTCCTGTTTATTTAGTATTTATGTCACATTGGCTTAGAAGAACATGAGGTAATGTAGAAAAGACTCAGTTCCTTAGGGTTCAGTCATATTGGGGAACAGAACCCAGGATATACAGGATAATATGATCTTAATGCTGAAATGATCTTCTCTTTTTTAATTTAACATTCTCCATCTTGTGAGATGCTTTGAAGTCTTTAGATGAATATTGCTTATGTGTATCTCGATAGACTAAAGCATTTTTAATGCTTTAATAACTTCCAGGTGAACCCCTTTTATGTAGGCCAGTTAAGAAAAAGGATTTTATTACACATTCTTTTTTAAATGTAATAGAAAACAAGCAAGTGTGCGTGTGTGCCCACAATCTTCCTCTGTGCTGCTGTCTTTGAATATCTAGCAGGTTTATTCAATGCTTACACTTCAGATATCTTTTTAGCTTATTAGTTGAGCTGGTGAAAGTTAAGTTCAGAAGAAATCTAAGATAATTAGAGGCCCTTTGATCTGGAGTGTTCCATTGTTAATGTGTGAGCAGATGTTGACCTGCATTAAGCACAAAGATCAAAAAAACAAAAGAGTTAAATGGCAGGCGAGCTTTGCAGAAAGCTTCAATGGTATCCAACTGGTTCTTTGGACTTGCTCGGCATGAGAAGTAACTAGTAAATTAAGTTCCAGGGTCATTTGCTCCTTGACTACTTTGCAGCTAGCTGTTCTCTTTCTTTTCTTTTTCACAAATTGCATCAAGTTGTTAAAAAAGTAAAATGATAACCTTGCATTCATTTTGCTAAAAGCACCACAATCCCATCTGTGTGTGTAGGTTCTGGGGATGCAGCTGGGGGAGAAGCCTGTCTGGCTACTTTTGGAGCTGAAATGTGATTCTTATCAGCAAAAGAAAGGGCAAATTAATTCCTTGATGGAAAGCAGCCAGTCTTCTTAGCAAGCTGGCCACATCTTCATTATAACTTGTTGCTTAGGGGCTGGCTAATGACGCTGTACTCTGAGAATTCCAGGAGGAGAGTCATGTTCTCAGAAAGATTCAGATCCACTTTTCTGAACACCCAGTTCCTTAGAGTGCAGTTGACTGTAGGCTACTAGACTTCAGCATGTCCAGTAACTATTTTTAAACGGTAGTGATAATCAATTACTGTTTTGTCTTAATATGTATCAGAACTGAAACAGCAGTCCATTTTGGTTAAATCCACACTCCATCACCAGTGGTACAACTAGCAACAGTTAGATAGAGCCCACTACTGACGGTGAGTGACAGTGATCCCAGATTCGATGGCATCCCCTCCCTATATAATGCAATCTCATGAAATGTAGGAGGACACTTTTCATAGTTGTTGGTATACATTAGGGGAAGCAGAACTGTTAGAAGTGTTTATAGCAGTTTTTTGGGGTCTATTATCTTTGCAGTTTTGGTGATCATTAGGTAAAGATTGACTGGAGTCTTCATGCCAAGTGTTCTGGAGAAGTTCGGTCTAGACACTGCTGTTTCTCAGTAATGCTGAAAAGTTCTCCACAGCCTTCCCTGCTATCTTTCTGGACTTTGGCCCTTTCTAGAAGGGGGAGAGCTGTGAGTTCACTCAGGGGCAAGAATTCACATGGTTCCTTGTAATATTTAACAGCTGTGTCAAAAATGAACAAAGGGTAAGGGCAAACTCAAAATCCATCCACATTTTATTTATTTTGTAAGTTTTCCTCTGAGGCAGGACAGGCAGGGTCTGTGGATAAGCCTCCAAGCCTAACTCATCTTTTCTATGTGCCGTAGATTATGTGCAGTGCTGATTCCTCACCAAGGGTTCCCAGCTGAGGGTTCCCAGCCAGGCTATCACTCACATTATCCAGCTATCAACCCATATAAGTTTCTGAAAGCCAATCGAGGGAATTATAAAATGCTTTGCCAGAAACTCGCAAGCGCCACTGCCATTCGTGCAGAGCTATGATTGTGAAAGCGGGGCATGGAGCAAGAAAGGCCGTTAGTGTGCTGTGTCATCACTGAGGGGGTCTGAAGACCTGCAAGGTCAATGTGGTCACTGTGTAAAGACTCTTAAGTACTTTCTCAGATTTCATTACAGCCTTGCACTTTTATATTTTTCTCAGATTCCATCCCAAACTGTTAGGGATCAATTCTGCTAAAACTCTTTCCTTTGTTAACGGTTTTAGACGGCCTGCTATAGCATGAAATGATGAAATATGCATGTCTGAAGAATTGAAAGTGCTCACAAGCCATCAGTACAAATGTCTTGCTTGTAAATGATGAATTCTAAGCGGGAAATCATGATATTATTTCAAGGAACTCTGACTGCTCTCCTCTCAGTCTGACATGGATGTGTCTGGGTGCCTATGAATGAAGCATACAATCTTGTTATAAAAGCAAAATAAACCAGGGATATAGCTTAGCAGTGTAGCGCCCACCTGGCAAGTGCAAGATTCTGCATTCAATTCCTGGTACCAATAAATAAACAAATAAACAAAATGAATCAGAGAAGCTTCCAAGCATCAGAATATCTTCTGGAGTCAGCATACAATAAATTCATGTTCATCTTTACATAGGGTTCAGTACATAATAGTTCCTTCAGTCTCCCTAAAGTGTGTAAATCAAGACTTATGCTTACCATGCTTAAGGACACTGAGAACAACCCAAGACAAAGCACCATCCAGGGAGGTTATTTAAAGCACACAAAGACATTACAGGTCATAATGATGGTGGTTACCTCTCAACTCAGACCAGCCAAGGCGTGGGCCACTGGACTGCCAAGCGGGTGCTGCAAGTGTCAACTAGGTTCTTGGAAGCTGGTTACCTCCTTTCACCATTCAGTCTTTGTTAACTTTCTTCCCTAATTTTTGCAGGACTATTTTCCACTGAGCTGGACTTTTGTTTCCAGCTTCCATCCCTGATCTCTTTCTATAAGTTCAGAGCTAACTGAACATTTTTGTTGTGCCTATACAGCCAGATAGCTATAACTTATACAGCCAGATAGCTCAAACTTCCACCAAGTGAGGTCTTAACACTGCTCAGATACCAACTATTTCAAAGAAAGAGACATTATGGTAGCTACTATTAATATCCATTTGTTTTGTTGGAAGTGCTGTGTTGCTTACATTGTTCTGTTCTGATCGTCTTTGTTCTGTCCTCTTTTGTCTTAATCTCTTTAAAATAAAAAAACACTGCTCAGATCTTCTCTTTGACCCTACTTCTGATGATGATTGGATCAGTTTTGATCTTCTTTCCTGCCATTTAATGATTTTTTCGCAGTCTTTTCTCGCAAGTAAAAGTTTCTATCCCAGCATGGCCTACACCAAGCCATGTGTGAGAGCAAGGATTGTGCTTCATACACAAAGGAAAAGATGGTTCCCAACAGCATTGGCCATCTGGTATTTCAGATATTCTTCTTGATGAGAGGTTGTAGAAGATAATCACAAAATTTCTGTTTAGAGTAAGCATGAGAAAAATGTCTTTCACAGTTTACTATACTATAGGACAGCAATGTGTTGTTCAAGTTATGTATTAGCTGATTTATATTCCTGTCTAATAATAAAACACTTGAATTAGATGTATTCAGTGGGTAGAGAACAATAGAGCTCAAAACATTTTTCAGTAATGGCTGTTAAATTATTCCATTGTTTAGAATACCAAGAGAATCTGACTCTAGTTACAGTTTGTCAATAATCAGATGGTCTATCCCTATACATATAACAATATATATTGTTACATATAACAATAAATGTTGTTTTTCTACCAAAGGCTCTTGGTGATTACATCAAAAGTTTGAAGCCAGGTGTGCTGGTACAATTGCAGTACTCAGGAGGCTGAGGCAGGAGGCTTGCCATAAACTCAAAGCCAGCCTAGACTACATAGTGAGTTCAAGGTCAGCCTGAACTACAATATAAGGCCTTCTCTCAAAAAACAAAAACAAAACAAGCAAACAAACAAACAAAAAACACTTTTAAATGGAACATGTAGGAAAACAAAGTCCATAATTAATACACAACTATGTTACTTATTATTCAAACTGGTACACTTTCAAGAGTAAAAGAGTTTGCTATTAATAATTATGCTGAGGCAGCCAGTATAAATGCGTGACTATGTAGTCACTGTAAATTTTAGTAAGATTAAAAGTCACGTATTTGCATTGCACAAGCACTCTGCATGTGAGGATCGTGGGGCCTTTGCCACATTTTTGGTAAGATGCATGTGGTAATGTATGCCTATAATTCCAGTACCCAGGAAGCTGATGCAGGAGACTCACCATGAATTGAAGGCCACCCTGGACTATAAAGTTAGATCCTGTCTCAAAAAAAAAGTGAGGGAGATGACTCGGTGGCAGAGTACTTACTTGAATTGCATGAGTGCGTGAGATCATGGGTTCAATTCCCAGCACCATAAAGAAAAAAAGGGAGAGAGAGAGAGAGAGAGAGAGAGACAGAGACAGAGACAGAGATAGAGCTTCTTGGTAAGCTCTTTGCAGTGAGGCTCTGTCCCTCCTGCATTTTTACTGCCTCTGCAGGGCCTATTATGTATTGACCATACCAGTTCCTCAAAAATCTATTCTAAATAAAATAATTGATAATCAGAAATTTAGTCTTTACATTATTTCCAAATAAAAGATATTCTAAATCAATAATTCATGTTTCCAATTGTATCTGAAGGTTTCTGAAGCACCCAAGTATTAAAGATCGTACCCCAATTCTGTTCAAATTGCTGCATTTTTTCCCACTATGCATCTCTGAGTGCAGGCCATCTGCATTCAGATGTTGGGTGTACAATTTAGTACACCCAAGAGTGCTGTTTAGACAGCAATAGTGAACTAATCTCTTTGAAGAGGACTTCATACTTGGTATCAAATAAGTAGCAGTCGCCTGTAATACCAACATTCAAGGAGACTGAGGTAGGAGGATCATTGTGAATTCAAGGTCAGCCTGGGCTATACCTAAACTACGGAGTGAAATTCGGTCTCTAGGGCCTGGGGATTTAGCTCAGCGGCATAAGCGCCTTCCTTGCAAGTGTGTGGTCGTGAGTTCCATCCCTGGTACCGATAAAAACGAAAAAGACCAAAAAAAAAAAAAAGAAATTCGGTCTCTAAAAGAGAAGAAAACAAAACAAACAAAAAACACCCAAACAAAAATGCTTCTGATAAAGACCTATAGATGACAAATTTCATCCAATCTTGTCCTTTGATACTTACCTGTTAATATTCAGTGTGACAAAACAGGAAGTATGCAGAGAGCCTTCTCCCTGGCTGCTAAGTGGTGGGGGTGATCACAAGCAAAAGCATTCAGCAGTTGTTTCATTTGCAAATGGAACTATAGTGGGACAGTGTTTTTCAAAAAAAGTGACTGACAGACAAGCAATAGTTATTCAGAATTGTGTGTTTGACCGATATCCAAAAATAGATGAAGTGAACTTGGTACTTCAAATAAAACAATAAACCACGCTTCTTGACAATGGTAAAACTTGAGCTTTTAGAGTGAAAGCATATTTCTGCCGTAATGAACTTGACAAGATCCCGATATTTGAAATATTTCTGGAAAGATTGGCAGTGATATTAATGAATGTGATTTTGTGCTGTGAGATTATAAAATATATCAACATTTGGGATATACATATATACATATAACATATATACATATATATACAGGGGATATACATATAACATAAACATATATATACATGGGATATACATATATACATATGTATATATACACTCTGTTTTCCAAATGATTAATCCATGATGCTATAAAACCATACTTGGATAAATGATTCATTCAAAGTGCAAGATAGACTACTACATTTTAATGTAACAATGTAGGAAGCTTTATTGTTGGGACTTCAAATTCTGTATTTCAACCAATGTTTCAGAGTTGAGTTTTAGTGTAGTCAGAGAAGAACATTCACAATTATCTGGAAAAGCTATTAAAATATTCTTTCTTTTCCAACATGTTTGTATGAGACTAAATTTTCTTGTATACTTCAACTAAAATAATACTTTGCAAACAAATTGATTAGAGAACCAAATATGCGAACCTAATTATCTTCAAACATTAGAGATTTACAAATTTTATAAAGCAACGCCATTATTTCCTCACCAAAATTGTTTTTACTTTCATAAAATACATAATTATTTGTGTTAAATACAATGGATTTACAAATGAATTAGATCATCATTTGTTTATTTTTAAAATTTAGGATGTATTTCTAATGCATAGACACTTTTCTTGATGTGTAAATATCAATATAATGAGGGCTTCAAGTAATTTTTTTTTTGTACCAGAGATGGAACTCATGACCTCTTGCTTGCCAGGCAGGTGCTTGTGCTGCTGAGCTATATCCTCAACCTGCAAGTAATTTTTAAAAGTGCAAAGTTGGGCTGGGGATTTAGTTGCTTAGTGGCATAAGCGCCTGCCTTGCAAGCAGGCAGTCGTAAATTCAATCCCTGATACCAATAAAAAAGAAAAAGACAAAAAAAAAAAAAAAAGTGCAAAGTTGTAGGCTAGGGATTTAGCTCAGTAGCTTAAGCACTTGCCTGGTAAGTGCAAAGTCATAAGTTAGATCCCTGGTCCAAACACAAACAAACAAATAAAGCAGTATAAAGTTGCCAGAAATCAAAGTCTTGGGGTTGCTTAGTCATGGTATATTAATAAAATCTATTCTATACAACATGGGAAAAAATGAAATAAATTTACAGAGGCTTATCTGGAATTCACTCCATTATACATTGTTAAGTGAATGAAATAAGTTACATTGTAACACATATAGTATGCTTCCAGTTGTATTAAAAAGGGAAGAATAAAAATGTATAATACTATGGCTATGTATACACATATACCTATTACTATTAATATATGCATTATATTTATATATAATGTACATATTATTATAAGTAAATTGTGGTGACATCTGGTACAGTAGCCTGAGATTTAGCTAGCTGGGGGACTAACTTTCCATGGTATCTCTTCTTGCATTTTAAAATCTTTTGCAATGGATTCATGCTATTAAGAAAATTATTTCATAATTTCTAAAAACCAAAAATCATGCAAAAGTGATGAATTATGTAATATGAGATGAAAATATTCAATAGAACAGAATTCGTAATGGAGGCTAGGTATAGTAACACTAATTTCCCAACTTTGACTCATTATCCATTAAAAGGAATATTTACAATCTAGGTATGGTTGGGCTTGCCTGTAATCCCAGTAGTCAGGAAAGCTGAGGCAGGATGATCAGAAATTTGAGCTCAACCCAGGCAAATTAAAAAGAGGTGGAGATGTATGTAGCTCAGTGTGAAGGCTCTGGGTTTAGTCTCCAATAAAATCGAAAAACAAAAAAATCATTTATGTGCGCAGTTTTAAATTTTAACTCCAACCACAGCAAATCAGTACTTTTTGTCCTGCTTCCTATCTTTCTGCAAATATTTATTTTTCTCTAGCATTAAGCAATTCTACTGGCAGCACTGTTTTGTAAATTGGAATGGCAAAACTTCTCAGGCAGGAAATGTCTCTTCTCTCTGGGTTCAGTTTATTGGAAAGAGAAAAAAAAAGACTACCAAATATGAAGGACAGAAAAAGATAAGGATTGTGGGCAGAAATTACCAAAAAAAAAAAAATAAGGGAAAAATTAAGACAGGGAAAGGGCTATGTGGCCGTGGGAGGGGAGGGAGGAAAGAAGGAGAAAGCTGGAAAGACACCAGAGGAGGAGGAGCTGAGTTTCCACAGGGCCAGAGAGTAGGCAGAGCCAGGGGAGCTGGAGTGGGACAGAAAAACCCGGCCTGCTGAAGAGAAGCAGCTCCTCCGCCAGTGCCTGGGAGATTGCTGACTGTGGTTGGGTCGGGAAGGAAAATGTGCCAAGTGAAATTCGGGGGAAACTGGGAAACTGAATGGGACCTGCTGCTTCCACCAGAGGCCAGGGAGGGTATTTTGATTTACACGAGGCGCTTTCTTTTTAGATATAAATTCTAGGTAGTTCCCAGACACCAACGATGGATCTCTTTAACTCTCTGCCCCTGGGTCGCCTCTGGGAAGCAGAGGGCAGATAGCACAGAAGAGAGGGCTGCGATGGATGGACGAAGAACAGCAACAGAGAAATCTGTGACTCCTTGTCCAGTGAGGAGGAGAGAGCACAGAGAGTCCTTTATCTCAGCGCAGCTGGAGACTGCACCCCGAGTCCCCAGCTGAGCGTCACCCCTGCTGCTCCTGACCCAGACAGTCCCTGACAAACAGGGAACCACCCACCAGCTCTGGACGGTGGCCAGCGGCTGTGAGACTGAGACGTGGGAGTAAGCAGAAAAACCTCCAGCCCCGCTAGGGAAATGGAAATTTTGAGAGTAAAGCGGGGCGGGGAGGGGGTGTTGGCATTAACAAAAGTGAAACTTTCACAGTAGAAAGACTGGAGTAACTAAATTGAGGAACAAGGGTAGGAAGGAGAGCCCCTACTCCAGCCAGCAAGCCAAACGTACACCCAATTGGATTTTGACCCAACGGTTTTCTTAGGATTCATTTTAAGGGACATTATTCCGTGATGACAGAGAATGGGGGTGTGTGTTGGGGGGTGTCTGTGCCAGCAGTTGGTTAGTATTGCCACCCCTTGGGTGTTAGATAACCTAATTTTATGTTTTAAGCTGAGCTATGGTGACCAAATGGTGCCCAACTATCATCCACTTTTTGCAAGTGGCTGGTTGTACTGTGGCAGGGACACCGTCAGGTGGTACCAGGCAATGACAGAGCTGGCTGTGCAGACAGTTTTTGACTCGCCCGTGTGAGGCGTTTGTAAGCCTGTTGGAAAGCAAGGACAGCACAGTTCAGCCACGAGCTTGTCTTCAGCCACTGTTATCTCCTGTCTGTGTGCTATCAGGGACAACTATTAAGGTAGCAGCCCCAACAGTGGCCTAATTCACAAAAGCAGGCAGCTGTCCTCAAGTGATGAGAAAATGAAAAAAATAAAATAAATAAAAGTTACAGTAAAAACAAGTTAACCCAGAAATATCTAGGGATGAGTCATGTAATATAGTTGACAACTTATCCCTCGAAGCACTAGAATACTTATATTGTTCCATGTGGAAATTATATTAAATAGCATAATACAGTCTTTACTTTCTTAAAAAGTATACTCACCCTACTTTTGCTTTTTGGCTCTTCCTGTGTTAACTGTTACTAAATTACTGCCTTCTACAATTCCATAGCAACAATCCCGGTCCCACTGAGGGACAGGAATGTGCTTGCTCCTGTGTGCAGCTGCTAGATCCACCGGATGGATGTTTAAAGGTTTTCTCTCGAGTTCTTCCACACTTGAGTTTCTTTTTTACACCTTTCCTTGTTACTACAGTGGTAGCAGCTGCTGAGTTCTTGTAAAGAGCCCTCCTAACTTTAATCTGCTAAGGGCTTGGAAGTCAAAGAGGTGTGTGCACAAAAAGTCAGGATAAAGCAATAAGAAACAGGCTCTAACGTGGGACACCAGCAAGACATCTGAGCTTCAGATCGCATTTGTCAATCAGTGGTGTGAAGGTCCGAACTCTGCAGCACCATTCAGATGCGTGTAGCCTTCAGTTTTATGTGCTCATTTGTGATGTGCTGAGACTGCCAGATGCATTCAGAAAAAAATAAAATGTTTTTCACATAAACCAAGGAAATCCAAGCTAATTGTTAAAATTTTATTGAAACCAAACTTGATAAAAAACTTACAAAAAGAGAGGGTGGAGTCCTTCCCATTTAAGAAAAAGACACATTCATTTCTCCGAAAAAGTTTTATTTATGGCTATTTTATAAAACCTTTAAAGTAAAGTGAAAAAAATTTCACCAAACAGTCCCACTATTAATATATTAATATTTTTCAGAAACCACCATTTAGATGAATACTGATTTTGTTAGAGAGCTCTAGTCATTTTATGTATGTTACAACCTTTCTAATATATCATAAATATTTTTTGCTTTGTTACATAATGTCTATTAACTGTTTAAGTATTGCATGCTATATTGAGAGAATAACTTTAATGTGCATATTCATTGATTGTTGTACATACTTTTTTCACTTATTTTATGAGTTTATGTATTTGAAACATATTTTGCCAATATATAAGCTGAAAACATAGAATTCACACGGATGGAAATTTTCTTGATAGCAAACTCTATGAAAACATACTAATCAGAAGGATTTGTAGGGGTTTTGCTGCCTTAAATTTCAAACAGCTTTTTTCTCCTTTGCTCATCTTGTCTTTAAATTGTCTTCCTTTTCCTCATTCAAAATAATGTTTTTTTTAAAAGCCACTCCTCTCTAACTCTTCTTTATTCTCCAACTAACAAACTCCTAACCAGTCTTCTGCGGGACATTTCACCAGCTAAGATCAGCCAACATCAAGCTCATAAAACTTGCAGCAATCACAAAACTCATCGGGGTCTCTGTTTCTTCATTTGTAAAATGGAATAGTTGCATGAAGAGGTCTCAGAATCACAGGATGCTATAATTGGAGAAAATCTCAAGGAGAGTCAGCATTAGAAAGTTGATCAGAAAAGCCAAGGGCTATGAATATCCTTCAGCAAAGATCCCAACTGCCCTACCTGGAGAGATTGTTGAGACAGGGGCAACAAACTTTCTCACTTTCATGATCACAGCTGCTGGTTTCATTTCCTCCTTTGTAGGAATCCCCTGCTCTGACGTACAGGAAGGATGCTTGAAATAGAAGCAAAAGCAGAAATTCCAGACTCCATAGGAAACGCCAAGGGAACCTCTGTGGCTGCCAGTGGGGCCCCACTTGTTACTGTACTGAATAATTTGGAAGGAAGGGAATTTAACAATATTCACTTCCTCAAAGCGTACCTTCCTTAAGCGAGTGTTCTGCTTACGAGATGTCAGATGTCTGAGTGAAAATGTCAAAGTAAATCTTCCCATGATTTTTCTTACAAAACAAATAAAACTTGTACCAACTGACAGTGATTGGTTGGAATTTGTGTTATAAAGTACTACCAATTAGCTAACTAGATAAGATAGAATCCATCAAAACTCTTGAACATGGCCAATACTAGAGATGGTTTGTAAAAAAAAAGAGATTCCCCAGAGATTTTTTTTTCCTTTTTTTTTTTTTTGGTCTTTTTGAAAGAGGGTTTCACTATGCAGTTCAGGCTGGCCTTGAACTCACTTTGTAGTCCAGGCTGGCCTCAAGCTCAAAATGATTCTTCTGCCTCAAACTCCCAAGTGCTGGGGTTACAGACGTGAGACACTACACTCAGCATGGAGAGTTTTGTTTTTTTTTTAAGACAGGCTAGTTCAAGTCCATCCAAAGAAAGGTTGAGTATACCTTATCTAAAACATTTGGGAATAGAAGTGTTTTGGACTTTAGATAGTTTTCTGTTTTCTTAATACTTGTATATACATAATGAAGCATCTTTGAGACCCAAGCCTAACCACAAAATTCATTGATGTCTCCTGTATATCCATACACATAGCCTGAGGACAATTTTGTACAATGTTTTTGGTGCACCTGTGTTTTGGCTGTGAGTGTCACGTGAGATCAAGTATGGAATTTTCCACTGTGGTGTCATGTTGGTGCTCAAAGAATATCAGATTTCAAAGCAGTCAGGGCTTTAGATTTTCAGATTATGGATGTTTAACCAATAGCACTTTATTTTGACAATAAGGTGTTCAATGTGGTAATAGACACACACTCCTGAGGGCCAAAGATGAATCTCACAATTCAGCATCTCTGCTTGGTTGCTCTTGCAGCAAACTATCTTCAGTAGCCATAGCCACTTCCAGGGCTGGATCTAGGATAGCATTTTTACATCTGTGATTATGGGCCACAGTAGAAATACATTTGAACTATGAATCAGTACTCCTATAGGTGATTGTGTGTGTGAGTGTGTGTGTGTGTGTGTGTGTGTGTGTGTGTGTGTGTGAATATGTTGAAAATCGTCTCTGGTGATGTTGTGTTCACTATATTGATATGGTCTGAGGTTTTCTAGGTCAGTCAGTGTTGCCTTAATTGGTAAAATATGGTGACTCACTATACCATCTGTTCTACCACAAATGGCTTTCAGTTTACGGTCTGAAAAACATCAGCCTGAATTAGTAATAATGATGATGAAAAGTATAATAATAATATAATAAAAGTTTTACCATCAGAACCCTGAGCCACCTTTGGAAGAATCAGTTAAGACAGACCTAGAACAGGAATGGGAAGAGGCATTTTTCAGTACATAAGAATTTTTAAGAGAACAATAGAACAATGACAACTTTGGAGACTGACATTCCTACTTAACCTGTGTCCCTGATTCATCTAAATAGTGTTACACTGAATGTTTGACAGATCTGCTTCTGTGTCTGCTCAGACCTTAACTGGATTTGAGATTTAAGAGAGAATTCAGTCGTGCAACACATCATCATTTTACAAATTGCTAAGAACAGAAATTTATGATTGTAAAATGTTATCAATTACATGACACTCAAGAGAAACATCAAAATATGAAGGAAAAAATAAAAAGCCTTGGCTTCTTAATTAACCTGGGAACTCATGACTCATTTGGAGTTTCCCTCAAGATTTCAGTCGCCTTGTTCTTCCTTTAGAAGGACACATGGATTTTTTTAATCCTGCATAGCTAGAGTTGTGCTTTACTAATTTTGGGTAATTTTGTAGAGTTCTACATTTGAAAGGCATCCTCTGACAATCTGGACTGTGCATGCTTGCAGTTGAAAAATCTGATACCTATGAAGCTGATGTGATTTGCCCCAGATAACATATAGAAGTAGAGACAATAAGAAGTTAAAAAAGAAAAGATCTAGGTGGGTAGACTGGAAAGGAGAAATAGTAAACCAGGAAATATGAAGGGGAGAACCTAAAGCCTCTGGTCTGTTTATTTTCGCTCTTCAGTTTTTAAATGGACTTGATCATATATAAAAACAAGTCATAGCCAGGTGTGGTGGCACATGCCTGTAATCACAACATCCTGTAGAGGCAGAAGGACAAATTTGACCTCAGCTGGGGGAACCTAGTAATTTAGTGAGCCCTTGTTTAAAAAAAAAAAGAGCTAGGAAGGTAGCTCATTACTAAAACCCTGGGTTCAATTCTTGAAACAAACAAACAAATAGAGGATTGGAACCCCTTTTGCCTTTGACTTTATTATCTCCATTCTGTGGAGAAATATAAATTGTTACTAGAAACTATTTGCCTCAAATATCATTTTAATCATAATATTTTTTCACTTCTTAAGAACTTAGAAATTATGTTGGTTGAAATCAGCTATATACTCCCTGACGGGTGATTAGGACATTCCAATGTCATCTCAATTTATTAATAGAGATTTACATCCCACCCATTTCCTATAAGGATTAGCTGGCTTTTCTCTTACTTAGGACCGTCATGTCACGTCACGTGGTGTCCTCACTGATTCTTGGCAAAGTCCTCATGTGCTGTTTCCTCACATCCGTCCTCCATGTGTGACGTGAGGCCCCTTCCCCCACCACTTTGTAGTTGCGCCCTATTGCTAGTTCCTGTCTCTTTTCTCTCAGACCTAGCATTTACCCTTTCTGGAAAACATTCTTTGATATTGTTTTGTGGTCCATCAACACTTAAAATACATTCTACATTTCTTTCATTTATACTCAGCAGTTTACTTGGATGACATTTGCTGACTGATCTTAACTTTCACATACTGATGTAATGTCCCCTGACTCCTGTGGCTCTGTCCTCAAGGAAAGATCTTCACTTAACGGGAAGGAATATTCACACACACACACACACACACACACACACACACACCAAGACACAGGAAGGACCGCACGCATGAAACAACGAGACTGATTAACTGTTGTTCATAAAAGGTTGGTTCTTCACTTAATGAATAGTTGACAGACGGTTTGGCTAATTTAGACTCCGACCTGCTCCCCCAACATTCATTCCCTGTATCTTAACTCATATTTAATTACTAATGCTTCTTCAGATATTCTTTGTCACCTGCTGTACCTTGATCCACAACCTTTATTGATTTGCACACTCCTGACCACACTCTTTCCCAGCCACAGCTGTCCTGTGTGAGTGAGCTCTCTCCAGAGCACGTCTTCCTCACCCTGTTCTTCTCACACTCCCTTCAGTGAGGGCCATGATGGGCTGTAGCCCAGCCTCACACTTGTCATAGTGTCCTCAGCATCCGCTGTCCCTCTCCTTGCCCCTCCCTCTCCCCAATCTTCTGCCTCCTCCTGTCCCCCTCCCTCTTCCTCTCTTCCTTTCCTAGTCCTCCTCCTCCTTCTCCTCCTCCTCCTCCTCCTCCTCCTTTTCCTTCTCCTCCTCCCCCTTCACTTGCCTCAGAAGCACCTGAGACAAAATACCAAGGATGCTTTTGGCTCCTAGAATGGTTCTAGAAATTATAATTTAGAATTAATTCATATTGTCCCAGGAAAATGAGATGATAAATGTGAGAGAAACGTGATACCCACCACTGGAAGGAATAATATTTTGTGGGATTAGTGAACAAACAGAGCAACAGTGATTCCTCCTAGATCTTAGAAGTTATTCTTACAGTCAGGTTGCTCTTTTGGGTTCATCTTTGATGGGAATTAAGTCCTATACGCTAGTTAGCAATATCTTTGAAGAAAATCTCAGCTAAAAGGTTAGAGCCAGCTGGACTTCAGTTTCAAAGACTGGTCAGACTGCCCGAGAAATGCTGTTACTGTCTGTACTGGTGTAACAGTTTCATCACCGCTGGAATATTGTCTCGTTTGGATGACTCATAGTTTGTGTTTGCTTATTTTTCCTTGAATTATGGTTTTCTTTATTCCTTAGATAGAACTACATATGTATGTATCAACTCAAATAAAGTTCTCTTAATTCATGTCAGTTCCCTTTGTGCTCTTCTATTTCTCCCACTCCTTTGCCAGTGTTTTCATAGCCAAGGAAACGGTCCTCTGAAGAAAAGACAAGGCAGTCAAAATATATTTGCAAGGATGCAATGAAAAACCTGAATGTCAGTTTGTGTTCTGGGGTTCATAATCATTGGGCATACCTTAACCGTGGCCCACATAAGGATGTCTCTGTTCAGACCATGCGGGGGACTGGAATATGAGTCGTAACAGTGTCCCTCTGTCTTGCTGTCTTAGAGGTCAGGAAGTTTAGCCTGTGGATATACAGTGAACTCTGAAGTCCTCTAAGTATCTGCAAAATGCCACATACATTGTAAGGATGATGCACGGGGCATTAGAGTCACACAGAGCTTGACTTCACCTCCTCTGCTCTTTGCCAGTGGATGATGTGGCTGTGTGATACAGTGGACACGCTTGGATTACTCACCAGGCTGTCGTGAAACAGAATTGTAAGAGTGAATGCAAAGGCTCACACATATGTAACCTCAGGTGCATACTCAGTCCTTAAAATGTTGGTTACCAACATGGTCACTTCCAAGCTATTTAGTAAAACTATCAAAATATTAACTGATTTTCATGAGTGTCTCACATTATTCAAATATTTAGCTTGTGAAACTTCAGCATGGATACTGCAGAATTAGAATTTCTTATATCATTTGTGTCAGTCAATTTGTTTGGTTTTCATGCAGAATTTACTGCCAAGCACCAGGATTAGTACAAAATTGAATCACACATGGATCCAGAGAAACTTTACTGCTGCTTGACAGAGTTATGTGTGTGTAGAGTCCTCTATGATGCTTTCTGGTGGCTCTTCTAGGCTGATCTGATGACTTTTGAAAATTTTATTGATTCAAGAAAAATCTGAGCTGGGGAGATTATATTATTAAATCACTCATAAATCCAAGGAGTCGCTTTTCTCCCAAATTGTTTTGTCTATAATATGTAGAAAAAGAGCTCTTCAGAAGCTGTATGGGAGCTATTTATTCCAAAAATAGGTCTACTTGGGTCTTAGGATTATCTCAAAGTTCTGCTTCTAGATACAAGTTTGGAGGAAGGTCTTGTAAGTAGCAAGTCTACTTCA